TTAAGCAATTTAAACGTTTTTAATATGCATGTTTTTCATATCTTGGTTTGATATACATATTTTTCAGATCTGGATCAGTCTTTTAAAATATAATGCGCTAAAAGTCTTCCATGAAGTCTTCTGATAGAGTCTTCTTCCATATCAATTGGAGTCCAAGCTTGTCTTTGTAGATAAATGATCTATAATAGTTTTGTTTGTGGTCTGTTTTGTGTTTTGCATGTGTACTCCTTTAGTTGTGATTTTTTTTTGTAAATTTGAAGTGATATTAATGAAAACATTTTGGTAAATATGTTCATTTTCCACAATATTATCTTGCAAAATTCATCATATCAAGTATCAATACTCATACATAGAAACATTTTTATCACTCTACCCAATAAAAAAAAACATCATTGGTGCATATAACAGTAATACTTAAGAGATGGAAACAATAGTAAATAGTCAAAACATATCTCATGTTTTACAAGTTTGTGCTGAAAAAATTAATCAAATTTAGTAAAATCAAAATTAATCTTGAAAATTCAAGTATCACATATCTTGAAGTTACTTAACACTCTTAAAAATACAAATTATACAAAAATAAACATAGAATATTTTTCGGTAAGTCTTCTCTTATTAGCCTAAATAAAAAGTGTGAGTTTTATCCAAATTCTCTGAATCAAACTAACATATCAATTCCAAAAAGCTCAATTGATAACCCAATTTTTAGAAATATATACTTGATGATCGATTACTATAATTGTAAACAAGGTTAGAAGACTTACATTAAAATCTTCTAGTGAGCAAACTTCCTAGAAGACTTAAATGTAAGTCTTCTAACCAGAAGCAAAAATCGATGATCATTGTTATCATCTCATGTGTTATGCATACATTTGGTATGTGTTTTTTTCATTAGAAGTATTCCAAGAAGTCTTTTCACTAAAATATATTAACTTCAAAAAATTAATCTAAGAAGACTTCCCCATAATTCTTTCTCTCATTAGTTAGAAATATTAATAAACATGAATATTAGTAATTTCATAAGTATCACCAATTAAGATATAAATTTCATTTAGTAGCCTCAATATTGTCTTTATAGTTTTAGAGAAATGAAGGTTTATTAAAAATTGACACATGGAAGTCGTCCATATAATTCAATTTTGCAATTAAAATTGTACAAATGAAGACTTACAGAGAAGTCTACTCTACAGCAGACTTCTTTGAAAGTTTTTTTTTGTAAATATTGGCTTACTTTTAAAAAAAAAATCTCGAGAATACTTGAGAAGACTTACATATAAGTCATCTGGTAGAAAATCGAAAAACCAATATTTAATTACAATTAAACGACTTACATGTAAGTCATCCGGTAGAAAAATAAAACTTCAATATTTAATTTTTGCTAGACGACTTCCATGTAAATAGTCTCGGGTTACTTTTTTAATTGAAAAAATAAAACTTAAATATTTAATTTTATATGGATAACTTACATGTAAGTCTTCATGTAGATGACTTACACGGAAGTCGTCCAAGATAAGCAAGGTTTGACCAGAATTTTGAAATTAAATCTTTGATGACTTTCGTGTAAGTCGTCTCGCGGAAGACTTCCGTGTAAGTCGTATACATAAAAATAAATATTTAAGTTTTATTTTCAATCACAAAACTAACCCGATACAACTTACATGTAAGTTGTCTAGTTATAATTAAATATTGATTTTTTAATTTTCTACCAGGTGACTTACATGTAAGTCATCCAGGAAAATTCAAATTCTGACACAATCCGATCAAATACAAAACTAACCTACTTATCTTAGACGACTTGACTTACATGTAAGTCTTCTCTGGTATTCTCGAATTTTTTTTTAACAAAGAAAACTGGACGATTTCCATAGAAATCTTCTCTAAAAACACATATAAAAGTCAATTGCAAAACTAACTTCTGTATTGACCAGAAGACTGTCGTGTAAGTCTTCTACTGCCAGAAGACTTACCCTGAAGTCGTTTAGCCGAACAGATCTGAAAATTTTTGATTTCATACCTTAAATTAGTGAAATAATTTCCTTAGCACACAGAATTCTTCTCCAAGCACTCAGAAGCTCAAACAAAAGTGACTCACCAAGAATTGTAAACTTGAATGGCTCTATGAACCATAAAAATTTTAGAATCAAAATCTTAGGTTTCTTTGGATGAATATAAAATGGAAAGTGAAAGAGACGTTGTTTTCAGTTCATAAGAAGTAAGATAGAAAGAGTATAAATCGATATTAGGTGCGTTAAGAGCTTCAAATTGGTTTTTCATCGTGGTTGGTGTATTGATGTCATTAGTAATCTTGTAAATATTTAACACATGAGGTTGCAAGAGTAAAAAAAAAGTAAAAATAAAAATAATGGCATGTTTGTGAATAATCTAAATTTGTGGGGTGAATAGAACAAATGATTTTTTTTTTAAATATATGTTAGTTTTGTGTTTGACTTTGAATTTTATGTTACTTTTTTAAAAGAAGCCCTTAAATCAATCTACTAAACCCATTAACTTATTTTACCCATTAAGTCAGTTATACCCAATTTTTATATCTGTTAAGATCGATCGCTTGGTTTGTACTGGCTTGTTCCTTTAATTTTATCAATTTAACATGCATATTCGTATCTTTAAGACTGAGCCACATATTATATTTATTATAAATTCAATTAGTTTTAAGAAACTAAAAATCAAAATTAAACTGAAAAGTTTCACTACAAAAAAGTCTACATTGATAGCATGTTATTATATCACGTTTTACTGAACTGCTATCGTAGATGACTTAAAAAATTACGTATTGTATAATAGCATTAGATAAATGCTATGATAGAGTAAATGCTATGATATCAATAAGCGGGAACTAATTTTGCCAATAGGATAAAATAAAGAAGATAACTTTTTTCCCTTTTGTAAAAACACTTTTGAATACTTAAGTTAGAAAAAAATTATTATGCTTGACCAATTGGAGAAACCAGTTCATAATGTGAGGATAGCTAAAATATTAATCTCCACCGTTGATACATCTTAATCTAATGGATATAATTATTCACTTATTTTTCAGTATCTCTTTCTTCTCCTTCTCACGACCTTTGAAATCTTTTTCTTCAGATCTCAAACTAAACTTCTCCTTCTCTCATGACCTTCTCATAACCCTCCCTCGTCACCACCATCGCCGTCCGACTCCACCACCACTACCACAACGGTTTAACCTCTCTGTCTCTCTCTGCCTCTCTCTCTCTCTCTCTCTCTCTCTCTCTCTCTCTCTCTCTCTCTCTCTCTCTCT